GAATAGAATAGAATAGAATAGAATAGAATAGAATAGACAAGGGGAAACTCAGGTGTCACAGCAGCATCACTACAGAGGTTCACACACTAATTACTTTACAAACTATAGACAGTACACAAAAATAACACTGACTAGCCATGACACAACTACTACTAATAAAAATATAAAATAAAGAATTGTGTAAAAATAAAAAAAGATATGTTTTGTTTTACAGACAGTAGACTATCAGAATCCAACATTAGGAATCAGAATTTGCCTTTTTTCAGTGCAAAATAATCTCAACAGACCAACAACTGTAAATTTAATAAGCAGACAAGAAACACAGATGTGTAATTACAGCAGAATTATTTTAAAGGTTTAAAATGGTAACAAATTGTTTTTAGTCTCAAAACAAGATCAAAAGTAGTTTTTGGCTGAATCTAAGATTAAAGCAGCTGTGATGTAATTATCCTTCAAATTCAAAAAGTCAAAGAAAACATCTTTATATTTAAGAAACTTACCAATAAACAAATGATTTTACTTTTTGTTACATAGCTGCAGATTTTCATTTGAACTTGGCTCAGCCAAAGCGAAACAGGAAGTGACATCAAAGGGGAACTCTTTAAGAAAACTTTGACTCTTTTTCATCTCTTTTTAAGACTCAAAATAATCTAAAGGAACATCAGATTATTTTCTACAGTCTGTGTTCACATGCAGACATTCCCCTTTGACATCACTTCCTGTTACTTCACATTTTTATGCAATACTTCATCAAAATTATCTTTCCAAAAATGAATATTTATTTATATAACAGGCACTTTAACAGACTTGGTTAGATGGACGTATAAATCAGTGTAAATCAGTCAACAGAAAGTTAGTTTTTTCAAAATAAAATTAGTGCCTAGATATTTTAGCCACGTTATTTCCAGAGTTCCCTCTTTAAAGAAACATTTATTAAAAATAACAAGTTTAAACGAGGCAAATTTGGAATTTCCTTTTTGTACTTAGTAACAAAACACCATAAAACACGTGTCAAGCTGTGAAAATGCCAATTATCCCTCCTCTTTGTCACAAGACAAACCTGATGGTCTTCAGTAATCACACACATATGACCGTCAACAACCTCATTGTTCTCATTTGTTCCTCACATGTTTCAAGGCAGAGAAACAATTAACCCACTTATTGGTACTTCGGCGTTCCAGAAAAGCTTTTGTCATCCACGCTTTGGATTATTTTAGCTTCTGAAGACCTTGTGTTATTGAAGATTTTAACGCAAAACCTTTTATTCCAAACTAAAAAAGATTTAAGTGAGCGCTCCTGGATTTCTGCACACATTCCCCTCTTAGAAGCTCTCTTTACAGACCAAAAAATGAGATGCTTAGCATATTTTACCCTGCTTTTATGATGGGGGAACAAACTAGTGCCACTTAGTGTAGTGTCGGTACGGTTCGGTACGGTTCCTTTTCCATGAGTCCAGATCCATGCAACCGGCACTTTTTTTACCACCTATTTCATTGTGGTTCCAAGCGGCCCCAGCTGACACCAAAATGTGACGTCAGAACACTGTTCGTCACTGATTGGCTACATTTTTGCAAATGTTGAAAGTTTCAACAGTTATTCATCAAATGTGTTTCCATCTCTCTTTTTGCCCATTAATGTCCTGATGCATCTCAGTAATCCAGGTAAAAAATCAAAAAGAAAAAGTTGTATAGGTCTTCTGGACGGGTTCTTCTCTAATGAAAGGTTTCGTCTCTCCTCCAAGAGACTTCTTCAGTCTGAGAGTTTCAGGCTAAATTCAGGCTTTTAAGCCCTGCCTCCATGTGACTGATACTCACATCACATGGCTATCGTTGACACCTAATTAACACCTATTGTTAACAGGGGGTGGAGTGATACTGGCAATAGCCACACTGTATGAGGGGGACAACTGAAAACGGAGGCCTCCACCTCTGTTTAATGATGGACGGTCTTTCTTTACAAAAATGGCTTCTTTAGAGAAATCACACACACGACAGGCCCTGGAGCAGTGTGGTTATCCTGACTGGGCTTTCCTGAAAGCAGACAGGAAACACAGACAGGATTCCATGCAACCTTCAGGTGAAAATGAAGACCCCAAACCCAGACCCAAACCAGTGGTTATTCCGTATGTTGCGGGTGTTTCGGAGAAACTGAGACGTTTATTTTCTAAACATGATGTCCCAGTAGCTTTCAAACCCCAAAACACATTACGGCAAAGGCTGGTTCACCCCAAAGATCGGTGCCCCGGCACAAACAGAGCAATGTTGTATATGCTGTTAAGTGCCAGGAGGACTGCGACCAGTTATACATCGGGGAAACAAAGCAGCCACTGTTCAAAAGAAMGTCCCAACACAGACGAGCTACATCTAATGGCCAGAACTCTGCAGTTTTCACTCATTTACAGGCCAGCGGTCACTCTTTCAGAGATGAGGATGTTCTCATTCTTGATAGAGAGGAACGTTGGTTTGAGAGAGGAGTAAAAGAAGCCATTTTTGTGAAGAAAGACCGTCCATCATTAAACAGAGGTGGAGGCCTCCGTTTTCAGCTGTCCCCCTCCTACAGTGCTGCTATAGCCAGTATCACTCCACCCCCTGTTAACAATAAGTGTTAATTAGGTGTCAACGATAGCCATGTGATGTGAGTATCAGTCACATGGAGGCAGGGCTTAAAAGCCTGAATTTAGCCTGAAACTCTCAGACTGAAGAAGTCTCTTGGAGGAGAGACGAAACGTTTCATTAGAGAAGAACCCGTCCAGAAGACCTACACAATTTTTTTTCTTTTTTGCCCATTAATGTTTTTTCAAAAAATCTAAAAACCACCTCCACCAACCGCCCAAAACACACCCATTGGAACCGGACTGGAACATCAGTGGAAAACCAACCGTTCCGACACTACACAGGCGTTCTTATGTCTGACTTTATGCTTCTGTAGCCCTGATGTTTCCCAGACTTGTTCAACGTCGTACACAGTAAAGTGTAAAAACGTGGTTGTGCTTCTGTCAGGTGTGCCGTGTGGCCTACGAGATCATGCAGACGCTGCATCCAGACGCCTCCTCCTTCTTCTACTCCCTGGACGACATCTACTACTTCGGAGGTCAGAACGCCCACAATCAGATCGCCATCTACCCACACCAGCCGCGCAACGGCGAGGACATCCCCCTGGAGCCGGGCGACGTCATCGGCGTGGCCGGCAACCACTGGGACGGATACTCCAAAGGCATCAACCGCAAACTGGGTCGCACCGGCCTCTACCCCTCCTACAAGGTCAGGGAGAAAATCGAGACCGTGAAGTACCCGCTGTACCCCGAGGCCGACAAACTGCTCAGTTCTCAAAACAAGTAAAGGAGGACGACGAGGAAAAAAAAAGAAGCAGCGGCAGCAAATGGAAAACCACGGAGTCTCCGGTTGCAGGAGAAGGAGGCTGCTTTTGTACAGAAGAGAGAGGTGCAGTCACTGCGCTGAGCTGAGAGAAGAGAACGCCTGGAGGTGATAGGAACAAGAATGCACTCTGTGTGTGTGTGTGTGTGTGAGCGAACATGTGTGTGCGCACTTGTGTAACATACGTCAGGTCATGGAAGACTTGCACCCTCCCCCCGCCCGACGTCGTCACGTCGGGTCTGTAGAGAAGTAGACACGAAGGTGGTGATTTTTTTAAAATAAAAGCGGAAGAAAAAAAAAACATTTCAAATAAAGGACTGAGCTCTCCTCGAGACCATACTGGGACTACTGTAAGACTGGTGCACCCCCCTCCCTCCCCCCAGTACGAGCGTCGAATCAATGACTGAAGATTTAAAAAAGAAAAACAGCCCAAACTGGCACAAAGTGGTTTGATTTTAATCTCGCCTTTTTCCTTTTTTCTCGTTATTTTATTTTTTTATTCTTTATTTACTGAATGTACTTGTCCTCTGGCCGCGCTCCGCTGTTTCCTTCTCCTCTTCCTGCTCCATGTTTCACTCCCAGCTCGTCTCCTCGTGCAATTAAGTTTACAGAATCACGTTGTGCTTTTATCAAGTGTTTTTAACCATCTTTGTTTTGTCTGTATGGGGCTTGTGCATTGTATACTGTACGGTTTGTGTGTGTGTGTGAAAGAGAGAGCACGTGTGTGATGAAGTCTTAAAGGCAGCGTCATGACAAGGTGTTTGGTTTTTTTGGTGAGTTGTGTGTTTTTTGTTTGTTTGTCTGGTTTTCCCACCTGACTGAGCAGTGTTTGTCGACAGCAGAGCGGTGGTGAAGGTGGGAGTGGGAACTGTTTTCATCCCTCAGCACTTGGAGCAAAATCAACTCCAGTCACTTCACTGGTGACCATTAGTGAACAATGCTATTTGGGTTATGGTGAAGTGGTGCACACTGACACGGGGGGGGTGGGGCCGTCCCCCGAGGCTCGGCAAATCAAGCACTCCAGTAAAGACATAATGTCCTTTTTTGACTTTTATTATTTGCTGTCTCCTCTGTCCGTCATCATTTCTTAATTATATTTTTATTTGCTGTTTTAAAACTATGAGGAGAACATTGTGTTTTTAAAAAAAAACAGGAAAAAAAACATCTCAAACTCATCAAGGCTTCTTTTTCATAACTTATGTTCATTTGGGCATTGTCTTTGATAACCACAGATCAAATAAAGCTGACAAATCAACATGTGATTCTGCTGTGTCGGCTTTTTTAAATCATTAAAGGAGACAAATCGTTCAAAATCCACGTTTTTAGTTGTTAAAAACATTTTGTTGTGTTCAGAGTCTCTAGGCCTGCAGAAAGGTTGGATTTAGTTTCTCCCGGTGCTGCGTAGATATTATATTCTGTTTGACTCATATTTTTCACCTGTTTTCTCTTTTTTATGGTGTTTTCTGAACTATTGCATCAAATTATTTGCAACAGAACTTCTAAATAAGGTCTGGACTTACCAACTACAATCTGGTGGTCTTCATTCTCCTCTGGTTCTGGGTCAGACTCTGGTTCTGGATCAGACTCTGGCTCCAACATGTAAGACTGGATAAACAAGTCTTCTCTTGTTCACATCTTTTAATTTATAAATAAAAAGTTTCTGCGCTGCTATATAATCATAAACCCCTCTATCAAACTGGAGTGGTAGTTGGAGGCTGTGTCTCAGTTCAGGGTCTGGGTCCTCATGAGTGCACATTTGTCGGCTGCATACGTCATTGCCCCGCGCGGAGGACTGTCC